GTGTGTGTGTGTGTGTGTGTGTGTGTGTGTGTGTTTGGATTTTATACTAACTTTGCCCCGTTGGTTTTAAAACAGCCCACGTGAAGAATCTCTGGTTTTGGTGTATACGTGCACATCGTGTGCCACATCATCTATCTTTTCCAGCATTTCTCCTTTCTAATACATTTTCCTGTCTTACCACTCACCTGAATCCAGGCCTGCACAGAGCACATGATTCAAGCACTGGTGTGATTTTGTTTACACAACTCTTACTGGAAATACCTGCTTCTTTCAAATGCTTTTTTAGCATCAATTGCTAAAATCCTAGGTCTTTTCTTCCTCTGATCTGGTGACGTGAATTGTGTTGCATGGTACCATTCTTGAAACAAATCCTAGTTCGTCATGCTAGGTTTTTCTTCTGGGATTTGATCTGCCAATATTTCATGTGGACTTCTACATCTATATTCTTGAGATAATTAATCTGCTTTTTAAATTTTTTTAATTCTCTTGGGGTCTGTGGATTGAAGTTACACAGGCTTCACTGCACAGGGTGTTTTCCATCTCTTTCTAGGGTCTGGCATTATTTGACTACCATCAGGGAAAGGTTATGGACACATGGTAGCTGTGGGAATCCTCTAGAAAGAGCCCATCCCCTCTTCCCTTGGGCCCCAGCCCTACCCTTTCAGCTCTGGAGGGACATTCTTGGCCCTCACTGCTCACGTCCCTTCCTCCCAAAGGCCTGTCTCTTCAGTTCCCACTTCTGTTCTGCAAACTTCCTACTTTCCTTCCCAAGTCCCCCATCTCTGCTCACGTTTGCCAAAATGTGTGCAGCCCCTGACGCTCAACTGTACAACACGCAGAGTGTTCCACACGGGGAACAGAGCGTTCCTGTGCAGGACTTCGCAGAGCTGCTCACAAGCTTAAGAGCACTGAATATTGTCAAGAAAGGCACGTCGCACATAGAGTTTTCCAATCCTAGACCCGGGCACACTTCTAGAGACATCTATAACATAAACATTCCCCAAAGCGAGTTTCCTGAACCTAAAGACCCCTTAGCTCCTTTGGCCGTGACTCCTCCTCTGTCAGACACCTTTCAGTCGGGGTGACCAACTGCTTTCATGCCTGTGTGGGAGATGAAGGTGGGAGATGAGGGTGGGAGGTGCGGGAGTGCTGGAAACCAGGCCGAAGCATCAGGTGTGGGCAGGTACAGCCCCGCCTCCAAGTAACTACCCTGGTGTGGGTGATGGGATCGATTTTTCTCAGCATCTGAAATCCCTCAGGTTGAACAGCCCATTCCGACTTGAGAAAAGAAGAAAGGGAGGCCAGACCCCCAACAGAGTCCAGGCTAAAACAGCCAAGGCAAATACAGGCCAGGGGAAAAGGGCCTCCCAACTTATGTTCTTCTCCAAAAGCCCCACTCCAATCCCTAAGAGGGAAAAGGGGATGGAGAGAGGGAAGAGGGGAGGAAAATGCCCAAGATGCAGGGACCTGGTGTCAGCCTGGGTCACCTCCCGCCCCACCCCCCTTGCCCTGGTGGCCTGCCCTCTCTGCTCACACTGTAACCTGCAACCTCTACCACAACAATGCTTCCCTTCCTTTGCAGAGAAGACTGAGTCTCCCACGTGTGTCCTGGCCAACACAGCACTTCTCAGGGTCACCCACATTTCGTGGCAGAGCTGACCACGACTGGACTGCACGGGTAGGAATGACGACGAAAGCTTCTCTGCCCTCCCTGTACCCTCCCCTTTCTAGATCTCTACAGTCCTTGCTCCTTCCTTCCACATCACTGATCTTGCTCACTCCTTGAACATTTTCCTTCCTTTGTTCCCTGGTTGACCTCCTCCTCCTGTTCCTTTCTTCCTTTCACTACCCTGAAATGGATGCTAACAAGTCCCAGTCATCATTCTTAAAAGAGTAATTTATAACAAAGTCGGTAATAATAAAAATCAAAACTGAATTTTTAAAGGATCCAGACAGATGAGTCGAACATCTGCTGGTGGTCACATCCTAAGGGAACCACCTTACCTGCAACCCCAGAAATATGCACAGGTACCAGGGGGGGACGTCTTCTATGGTATAAATCATGTCCGATCTCTGGGGGTCTAGACTGCCAGTGCTATCCAAGGTCTCGGCGAGAGAGCTCTGTGAGTGAGAGGGAGAAAAGGAATTGTTTAACAAGAGCAAGGAGTAATAGTAACTCAGCTCAGTACAGCCCACAGTTACTGAAAAACAACTTTATAAAGTGGTGACCATTCTCTTGTGTAAAAATAAGCCTTGGCTGCCTTTTACACAATGCTCAACCCACTCAGTGAGACGAGCTGTCCTAAGAATTTGGGGGCTCGATATCCCCTGTCACTGACTCATCCCCAAGAGCACCCAGCTTGCTCAGAACTTCTCCCCAAGCCTAGGGAACCCCTACATGGAGAGGGATGCTCCCAGGTTGAGTCTACAAAGCGATACCTTGGCATGAACAATCCTTGAGTGGTGCCCCAAAGGAAAAAAGGTTATGAAATGCTGATCACTTTGAAACAGAGAGCACTAATCTGTCCTTCCTACCCCATCCCATTCCTGCAAGGACAAAGATCTCTGTACCCTAAAAACCAAACAAAACAAGTCCTATGCCTTCCTATCAAAACACTGCTTCTCAGACACAATGCTGAGTGAAAAGAGCAAAATTTTAAGTACAGAGATAGGAAGATTTCAATTTTGTTTAAAGACTAAAACTTTGCTTATAGTTTAGGGGACAGTGGTTTTTTTTTTCTTCTCTTTCCCTCCCCCCACTGTTACTACAGACTTTAAAAATATTAGGTGTTGCAGGCTTTTTGAGCCCAAAATTTTCACCAAGACTGAACACGTTAGGTTATAGTCTAGACGTTTACAGTCAGTGTCTGCATTACTTCTGAGCTAAACAGAAAACTGAAGGTAACCCCAAGTCCCCCATGTACCCTTAAAACTGCTCTGGTTTCTAAAACTCTATGAACAGTTTCATAGAATCCACGATGAGCATTTTTTCCTAAGTCTTTTGTACTTAAAAAAGTGCCTAACAGGAAACAAAATTAAAAGATGTTCCACAAAAAAAAGTAAGGATAGCGACCTTCTGACTATACCTAGCCCCATTTGTGCCCCCTTGTCCATGGATACAGTCCACAGAAAGATGCGGACTCTCTGTCGCTTGATTTCCCATGCAGAGGTGGACAGGGATTTGGGGGCCAAATATTCTTGAACAAAAGGAGTGATGCAGTTCAGCCTTACCTTCTAAAGCCTAAAAGTAAATGTCTGCTGTAAGTTGACATTTGAGTTAATCCAAATGAGAACGGAGTATGACCTTTCAGAGAACTTTTTCTTACATTCAAACAACGGATATTGGCAGATTTGCATTCCTGAATGAGTTAAAATATACTATGTAAGTCTTTTAAAAATCTGGGATTTTTTAAAAGGGATGGTAGAGAAAGTACATGTGTATGGAAAATGTGATATGATATGTGGTGATGTGCAGTAAAGGATGAACAACAGCAGGACTGGGTTGTCCAAACCCTCACACATTTCAAAAACAGCTTGGTCTTGCTTGGCAAGTGGGAGAGAACCTGCGAGTTCTGGGAATATGCTGCTCTTAAGAGTGTGTCTACCTCGAGCCTTGGGCTGCCTCAAATGGTTTATGCTAACGATGCCATTTATGGTGGGGGCCTTGAACCACACAGCATCACTATGACCTCTGGAGGGGCTGGATGCTAACATCAGCCACATGGGTGGGTCAGCCATACTTAACATGGCTGGCCCCAATCAAAATAATGGATGCCAAGGCCTGAGTACACATCCCTGGCTGACTGAACAATCCTTGAGGGTTGTCACACATTGTTTTTGGGAAAATTAAGTGCTGCCCACATGCCTCTACTGGGAGGAGACAATGGAATGCTTCAGTTCCTTGGACCCTGCCCTATGTACCTTCTTCTGCTGATTTTAATCTGTATCCTCTCGCTGAAATAAACTATAATCATGAGTTTAATGGCTTTCCTGAATTCTGTGAGTCCATCTGGCTAACCACTGAACTATATTCGAGAACCCTCAACTCAGATTTTGGGAATCCGTGAACTCAGTTGACCATTTTGTTCACATAATAGAATTATGGATTATCCAAAGGACAATCCAATACCATCTTATTACCCATGGCCTCACAGGTAGGGGTACTACTGCCCACAAAGAAACAAAAAATATCTGAAAACAGAGTATATATTAACACTACAATTAACAGATTTGGACAACCTATTACAATAATACTGTGTGCAATATTATTCTAGTGATTCCAAGATAACTGGTTTTAACTATAAAAAGAACAGAAATGAAAAGATTTCATTATCTGTCCTCTTTCAGGTCTTTCACTAAGACATGTACACAAAAACACACCCCATTTTTCTTAGTAATGAGGGTGGTTCCATAACTCATAAATGGAACTAATATAAATGCCCATGAATGGTATTAAGATGACACAAAGTAGGAAACTGTGTGGTCATGGGGGTCAATTAACCCTTGAAGACAAAATGCTGCACTGCCCCCCACCCTCGAGACAGGAATGTGTTTGGCCATATTGTGAGCTATGGTACTACACTCAATTATCACTGCATGAAAATATAAACCATTTAAAACACTAAAGGAAAACAAGGCCCTCCAAAAGCTTTTTTCGATGACTACATTAACAGGTTAACAATGTCATTTTCAAAAGACTTTTCCATCTTATTCTATGGTCTGAAATAATCTAAAGAACTAGGTAATTACCTGCCCATCAAAGAGTAGGAAACTCAGAATTCAGCTTTCTGGTTAGAGCCTTAAGACTGTCAATAACCTTTTCAACCTCCTCTATCATTATTTACCAAGTCTAGCATTTTTGTGATCCATTGTGGTCACTTTTTCTCTAGGAAATAATTTATGCTAGATCAGGAGTCAACAAACTTTTTCTGTAAATGGTTATACAGTAAATATTTTATCTTTTGTGGGCTATATAGTTCTGTCACGACACAACTCTGCCACTGTAGTGCAGAAGAACCTTTGATGGTATGCCAACAGGTGAGTATGGCTGTGTTCCAATAAAACTTTATTTATAAAAATAGGTATTGGGCCAGCGAGATATAGCTTGCCAATCCTTGCTACAGGGTTTCAAACGGATAATCATAAAGTGGTAGTTAACATCTCCTTCACGGAGCACCTGGGTGGTTCAGTCGGTTGAGGGTCTGACTTCAGCTCAGGTCATGATCTTGCAGTCCATGAGTTCAAGCCCCACGTCAGGCCCTGGGCTGACAGCTTGGAGCCTGGAGCCTGCTTCGGATTCTCTCTCTCCCTCTCTCTCTCTGCCCCTCCCCCACCCATGCTCTGTCTCTCTCAAAAATGAATGTTAAAAAAATTTTTTTTAAATATCCTCCTTCACAATTCTTACATCACCTTTCACATTGCTAATATATGTGTGCTTTCTCATTTTTTTCTTTAATCAGGTCCACCAAAGATCAAGTTCATTGGTCTTTTTAAAAAAAGCTTTTGAGTTCCAGTTAAATATGGTAGACTGACCACCTGTCACTTCCTCTAACTCCTAAAAGGACACAGAAGGAATGATCACACCACAAATTTACAAAGATGAAGTAAACAAGAACAGAAGAAATTAGATTAACCCCCTGGTAGAATATGTAAAGCATTCGCATGAGTTGTGACCCACTGGGGAGTGGGAGGAATCTAAAACCTGGGTGTTTAAAGAGGAAGAGCGTGAAGAAGTGAGCTGGTTGACCTAAAGATGCCCCGACAGGTTCTATGCTTGCAGACACAGATAAGAGTGGGAAAGGGAAGAGGATGGGCTTTAACAGCACAGACCAATCAAATACCCTGTTGCCTACTGCCTTCCTCATCCTTCAAGATATGAAAAGGTACTGTTTTAAGAGCATGAACCAGAAAGACTTCCACCTCAGAGGTTAAATGCAATCATGAACAGTGGGATCCTCATTTGCTTCTGGAATGCCAGACACCAGGTTACAAAAGCCAGGCTAACACCCACAGGAGTCTAGACGATTCCTTTCTGGAGGAACAGACCCAGAAATAGTAGGCTTTAAAAATAACTAAAATAAAATAAATTTTAAAAAGTTTTAGGGGCGCCTGGGTGGCGCAGTCAGTTAAGCGTCCAACTTCAGCCAGGTCACGATCTCACCGTCAGGGAGTTCGAGCCCCGTGTCGGGCTCTGGGTGGATGGCTCAGAGCCTGGAGCCTGTTTCCGATTCTGTGTCTCCCTCTCTCTCTGCCCCTCCCCCGTTCATGCTCTGTCTCTCTCTGTCCCAAAAATAAATAAACGTTGAAAAAAAAATTTTTTTTTAAAAGTTTTAAAAAATAATAAAATAAAATAAAATACAATACAATACAATACAATACAATACAATAAAATAAAATAAAATAAAAAAATAAAGTCAAGTCAAGTCAAATCAAAGTTATAGTAGAACAGAGGCGGCGCCTGGGTGGCTCAGCTGGTCAAGCGTCTGACTCTTGATTTCAGCTCAAGTTATGATCTCGTGGTGCATGAGATCCAGCCCCACATCGAGCTCTGTGCCGACAGCATAGAGCCTGCTTGGGATTCTGTCTCTGCCCTTCCCCAGCCTGCACGCTCTCTCAAGATAAATAAACTTATTAAAAAGTCAGAAAAGAACAAAGAAAACAGAAGACAGGAATTCATCAAAGAGATTTAAAAATTTCTAAGAACTAAAGAACACGTTTGCAAATTAGACCCACCAAGTATTCAATGAATTAATGAAAACCTATTCAGATATTTTAGAATGCACTTTACCACCAACATTGCAACGTTGTATTAAGAATGGCCCCAGAATAGAAATTTAAGAACAAAGGGAAATAAAACATGGGTTGGTAGAATTTGGATAAAATAAAAAAATTAAAAAATTAAAAAACAGAAAGTAGAAGTAGAAGAACACGAGAAAACAGACATTATGAATAATACAATAAAGGTCACAGGCTGGGGAAGAAAAAAAAAAAAAATCAAACAATGTTGGGGGGGCAGGAGGGAGATTAGAAATGATAGCCAGAGAAGACAGGCAGATCCAAACACCTATCATCAGAGCCCCCAAATAAGAAAACCCAAAGAACAGACTGAAACAAAAAATAAAGATAGAATTCAAGACAGCTTTACTTAAGTAAAAGGATCTTTAATGTTAAATACTCCAAGTGCCAGAAAAAACTGACCCAGAATGGTCAACATGAAAACATATCTATGTAAAGTTACTGAATATCAAAGATAAATAAAGAATCCAAAAATAGCCAAAAAGATCAAGATACTGATAAAAAGAAGAAAACAAGACTGACCTGGTATCTTCACAGCCACAATCAATACCAAAAAATGAAAGAGTAGCAACAGTAAGTTATGACTCAATTATTCTCTCAACTTTGTATCACACAATTGTCCAAACATATACAAAGGTGGAAATATGGAATGCCCACCGGTACCTGTCTCCACCCTTCAAAAATTACCAATGCTGTGTTCTTGTTTAATCTATTCCAAGAGAACTTCCTTTTTCAAGAACTTCGGGTATCTCAACTACAAGGGGGGGGGGGGGCGGGATGGTGGTAAAGAGAATCCACAGGACTGAAAGTTAAAAAGATCTTTAACTTTAAAAAGAAATCTCAACATTATGAAATCAAGTTTATCTTCTATATAACGAACTCGGCGATAACTGCAACCACACAGCTGTTGCAACGACCGGCAGGCAGCCAAAGATCCCAGTGCCGAGCTGGGTGGGATTTTCAAGTGAGGACACACTGTAAATAGTTCACCTGTGACCGTTTTCACATTTCGACAATCTCTGCTCCCTAAAAGCCTCATGTTATTTTACACTCTGTCCTCTCTTCCTCACGATGGCCCTGGGAAGTTACGTGCTTTATAACCCCTTTCACAAACGAGGAGTTGGAGACTCTGAGAGACTGAGGGAGCTGCCCAGGATCTGAACAGACAGGCTGTCCCCAAAGACTGCATTTGCCACCATACTATATGGCCTCCCAGGGAGAAACAGAGCTGCTCTCTAGTCATTACGAGAAATACCTGATTTTTTGACGTTGTGATTAATAACAAATTGCCCAATACCCCTGCAACCACTTCACAAGCTCTTGTAAACACATGTGGTGGGGAATCTGTGAAACAACAAAATGCTGGTATTTCAATGGGAACATCTAAACCTTTTGCTTGTATTTACTTCATTTTGTTCCAAATGCCCTCTCTATAAACAAAATCAATTCTTCAACATCCCTCACTGAAAATTCTCAATGATACTGAGATCAAGTTCAGAACGCTATCTTACAGACTCACTGTTCCATGATCCTTCTGGGCCTTTCAGGAATAAATGTCTTTGAGCACATTCCAAGATGGGTACCTTGTGGCTAATACCATACTAACCAGCATTTACCATTAGTAGTTAAGTTTTGTATAACGTTAAGTGAACATATGACAACCAAGAGCATACCATAATTAGGAAAACAAGCATGAATATGGAGAACGCATGAGATGATCTCTCGGGCCCCCACTTCTCCCATCTCTCCTGCAATGTCGCATTGTTCACTCACGCTCAGCTGTCCAGAGACAGCCTGTCACTGCCCTCTGAAAAGCAAGATCCCAAAGGGCAGCATTCTTTGGTGTGAAGTTTTCTTTGCACAAATTCAAGACAGCGGAAATCCTAAACATTTCATTTTCTTCTTCTCTAAAACAGAGATAGTGGCAGCACCTTTCTAATAGAGCTTTGGTAAGGACTGAACGTGACCCATTGCTTAAAGCATTCAGCCCAAGGCCTGGACCATTAGCACTGTTTAGTACACGGTAGCTCTTCTCCCTGAACTTGCCATTTCATAAAACAAGAAGAGTGGCCAATGAAACAGGAAGATATTCCATCTCACTGGTATTCAAGGAAATACAAATGTATCAAAGTTTCGACAATGAAAAGATTTTCAAGCAGGTAAATGAATGTCTAGCATAAATGTGCTAATATAAATAAGCTAGACACTTTTCCTACCGACAGTTCACTAGCATCAGTAAAAGGTGCCACTAGAGGTGTTAGAAGGCCCTGCGTATGTTAATGCTCCTTGGTATTCATTTCAAAAGGTGACCGTCACTTACTGGATACTGGAGGAGGAAGTCTAAAATCATGACAGTCTATACCCTGGAAATTCTGGTGGCTCTGATTAAGGGCCCAGTACCCGAGAACTGGATACAGCCTAACGAGTCTGGGAATTCAGAAGCACTCTGCTGCAAGATGTACCATTTGAATGCTGAGACCCAAGCAGGCCAGGCGGTAGCTCGCTGCCCAGATCCCACTCTGCGGGCTGTGTCTCAGCTGCAGACATAGGCGTCGGTCAACATGTCCACAGTGGCAACTATAATTTCTGCACTCTGAGCAGCAGCTTAGAATCCAAAACCACAGGAATGTCAACAACTCAGCATGAATCTAATTAGCCTCCACAAAATTTATAATAGCCTGACCAAAAAGTAATATTGGTCAAGAGAGCCAAAAATGGAAAAAATAAACCATACAGACACAAAAATTTGATTATTCCAGAATTTCAAAATGATTTCCTTGTTCTTTATCATTTTAGTGATTACACTGTAAACTTACTGTGCTAATTAATGCCCAAGCTGGGTACTATGTTTGCATGTATCAACTTTCCAGTGGTCCCTTTCTAAAATATTAAGTGTGCACTATCTAAAGTACAATTCAGGGGACTCCTGGCTGGCTCAGTCAGCAAAGCATGCAACTCTTGATCTCGGGGTCAAGCTCCACAGTGGACATAGAGATTACTCTTAAAAAAAATAGAATACAGTGGTTCTAGAAATACAGAAACTGATTAAATTAGCGAATTTTCACAACGAGTACAAAATGTGCTTTAAAAAGTCTACCAAATAAAACTCAAATGAAATTGAGGAGTCTCAGAGCTACAGTACAATCTGGAAATATCCTCTTGTCAAACTCTTCATGCGTTGGGCACAGTGACCAATCAATACAGAATAAAAAAAGAAATTAAGGCATCTGGATCCTCTTTGGGCAGGCCTCTTCTGGCCTCTGTGAATAGGGTCACACAGACTAATCTCAAGGAAATGGGATGGCGGGGGAGGCGGGGGGAGCTTCTCCCCACCTTAACATGTGATTTCTGCCCCTTTGTTCAGTCTACACAAGCTACTGCTGGCTTCTTGTATTATCTTGTTCACTCCAACGGAGTATGTACCAGGCACAATGCTAAGAACTACACAGGTTATTATTTCATTTACTCCTCACAACAACCGAAGACAGATGCTGACACTTTTATTCTCATTTTGGAGATGAGGCAACGGATGATGCCCAGAGACCTTAAGTAATTCCCTCGGGGTCCGAGTCACATTAGCACCCAGCCCTGAGTCCAGACTCACACTCTTAACCACCTCCCTCAGCATCCTGGCTAAGGCTTTTAAATATAAGAACTTCTATATGGAACTCACCTTAATTGCCATTTAGACAATGAAAAGTTAGTAACTTCTACTCCTCACCATCCCTTCTATTTCCACTATGAAGGGAACACACCCACTCGGGAGGGCCGAGACGAGCCCGGGGAAGGACAGCCACATCCCGTGACGGGGAGGAGGCTGGGGCAAGGGAGTACCTTTTCTGCGATGCCGTTTTCTGTGGTGTAGATTGCCATGAGCTCGGTGTCTTCGTTGTCCTGTTCACCGCTGGACGTGGCGCCTCCATTTATCACCACCTGAAGACAAACACTTCATTTATAGGCTGTTTCACCGTGCACCGCTCTGCCGTGTGGAAACGTCCTCCCCAAACACCTTCTGTCATTTTCACAACAGACACAAGCTGTGTGTCTTTTGCCTACCACATCAGCCAAGTTTCGAATTTTCTTAAAAGAAACTCCCGACAAGTGTGCACCGCATCCGTGACCACACATGGTTCCGATGGAGGAGAAATGCATCGTGGGTCCCCCAGGGGAAGGCCGGAAACGGAGCACCCCCAGAGAGTCCACGGAGTGGGGCCTGCAGCTCCATCCAAGGCCAAGGGAGGCACAGCTGGGCACCGGAGCTGCTGTCTCCGGACGGGTGGGAAGCATCAAGGGCGGCCTTGGTCAAGAACCCTGCCCGAGTCACCGCGTGCTAAGGATTCTGTGTGGCATTCCCAGCAGGGGCAAGTCAGGCACTGCTGATCGCCTGACGTGCTGACATTTCCCGCCGTGGATACGACGCAAACCAGCCTGCTGGTGCGTGCGGGCAGTAGTGTGTGGCATCGGACAGGCACGGGGGCCGTTCTTGCCAACAAAATCTAGCTTCTGGGCCCTCAAGGTAAGAACCAGAACTCATCTTGAGGACTGGAAGGAAACCCCTGGACACATGCAGGCCACCAGCCCTCATGCCTGCCCTGGCAAGGCACTTGGAGTCGTCCGAGGTTCTGGCTGCGTTCTGGCAGCCTGCAGCAGAATCTTAAAATATTTTTACTTTTTTTTTCTTTATAATTTATTTACTTCAAGAGAGCGAGCGAGCACATGCAAATAGGGTAGGGGCAGAGGGAGGGGGGAGACAGAGAGTCCCAAGCAGACACCACAATGTCAGCACAAAGACCAATGAGGGTCTCGAACTCACAAACCATGAGATCATGACCTGAGTTGAAATCAAGAGTCGGACTCTCAACCAACTGAGCCATCCAGGCACCCCGAAATAGTTTTACTTTTTAGCCAGATAGTTCCATTTCCAGAAATCTATTTTGAAACATTAATACTAAAAATAACTGTATGCGTGAATGACAGCACAACTACATTTTTTATAAATTTTTTTAACACTTATTTATTTTTGAGGGAGAGAGAGAGACAAAGTGCAAGCAGGAGAAGGGCAGAGAGAGAGAAAGAGACACAGAATCCAAAGCAGGCTCCAGGCTCTCAGCTGTCAGCACAGAGCCCGGCATGGGCTCAAACTCACAGACCATGAGATCATGACCTAAGCCGAAGTCAGTCACTTAAGCCACCCAGGTGCCCCAGCACAACTACATTTTTAAAATAAGAGAAAAAAGACAAAGTATATAAAAAGTTTAAATCTGATATTGCGAAGTATACTAAAGAGAAATAAAAGGTGAGATGGCATAGGGGAAGGTACCGTGCGATGTCTATAGCCCACAAAAGTTGGTACCAGTAGGGGGCGCCTGGGTGGCTCAGTCGGTTGAGCGTCTGACTTTGGCTCAGGTCATGATCTCACGGGTTGTGAGTTTGAGCCCGGCGTCGGGCTCTGTGCTGACAGCTCGGAGCCTGGAGCCTGCTTAGGATTCTGTGTCTCCCTCTCTGCCCCTCCCCCACTCACACTCTGTTTCTCTCTCCATCAAAATAAGACTACTAAAAAAGCCTGGGTGCGCCAGTTATTCAGCGTCGACTTCAACCAGTTCCGATCCACTGGTCTGTGGAGTTCGAGGACCCCATCGTCTGGGCTGATGCTCCAGAGCCTGGGGAGCTAATTTCCAATTCTTGTGTCCTCCTCTCTCTCTGCCCCTCCCCGTTATAGCTTGTTCTCTCTCTGTCCCAAAAATAAATAACGTTGAAAAAAAAAAAAATTCAAAAATAAACACTAAAAAAAAAAAAAGTTGGTACCAGTAGTTCATAAACACCTGCAAATCAATAAAGCAAACAATCCACAGGAAATGGGCAAACGATAGGTGTATGCAATTCACAGAAAAAATCTGAATATCTAAAACACAGGAAAAGCTGTTCAATCTCATTTAAATTTATAGAAATTAAATTTTTTTGAAAAATTTCATTTTTAACATAAATTAGGGGGATATTTTAAAAGATGAATCTAGTGTTGACTAGGGTGTTGGGGGGAAAGCTATGCTTAGTTATCAGAGAAGATCACATGGACTGGCCTCTGTAGAGGGTAACTTAGCACTGGAACTTAAAACAGGCATTTTCTTGGATCCAATAACTGAACTCCTAGAAACATCCTCCAGAAATATCCATGCAAGTGGTATGTGCATTCAAGACTGATGAATGCACTATTTTTAAAATACTGAATCTCTGGAAACAAGCTAAATGGTCATCCAAAAAAAAAAAAAAAAAAAAAAAAAAAAAAAAAAGATAACCAATGGGGTTGGGAGGAAATAACGATGAACATTAAATTATGGTACATCCATTTCAAAAATAATGTCATTAAAAAGAAAATAATCAAAAAGCCACTAAAAAAGAAAAAAATAAGCTGATGCACTGATAAGAACTCCAAAAAATACAGTTTTTGAAAAGAGCCACAAAACAGTAAGCCTAGAATTATCACAATTATACTAAAAAAAAAAAATCTTAATAACCTCCTTGTCTTAACACTTGGGAAAGGATCCAGAAAGGTCTGAAACCAACAACAGGAAGGTTGCCCTGGGGACAAGGAGTAACGATGGCCACTTTTCATTTTTCACTCCCAATACTGCTTTAGCATTTGGGTCTTTTATAAACAGCATGTATTTGTATGGTTTTTGTATACTGCTGTTTTATTTGTATGTCTGTATGCTGCTGTATACTGGCACCTGGGGTGCCTGGGTGGCTTAGTCGGTTGGGCTTCTGACTCTTGATTTCGGCTCAGGTCACGATCTCACAGTTTGTGAGTTTGAGCCCTGAGCTGGGCTCTGCGCTGGCAGCACGGAGCAAGCTTGGGATTCTCTCCCTCTCTCGCTCTCTGCCCTCCACTGCTCATGCTTGCACTCCTGCTCTCTCTCTCAAAAGAAATAAAACATTTAAAAAGTTAAAAAAAAAAAAAAAGATGTTCACCAAAATATTAACCGTGGTTGTCTTTAATCAGTAGGGCTGTTTTGACCTTTTACCCTTTATATATTTTGAGAATTTCCTAGAATGAGGACAACTTCTTTTTACAACAGGGGAGAAATTATAAAGACTAAAGATCTAAGCAGCATACCTTAGACTGAGGAGGTCCAAAGATATTTCAATCCACTTATTTTTACAAGTGAAGAAATCGGGCCAGTGAAAAATTAAACTTCTCATACAGATTAATACCCAAGTACGAGGCTACTTTCAAAAAGTATGCCAGAGATCTCAATTACCTCCTACATAATTTTGACAGGGCAGAGTTTTCTTATGGCTCTTCAAATAAAGATTTACCTCTAAAACTACCTCTTCAAGTAATGCAATAGCTTTTTACGCAAGCTAACTGGGTTTGTGGCATTTGTTGGGCCATAAAACCAGCTGCGGGCAACACAGACGTTCCTAGCCAAGTTCAAGTCCACAACAGGAAACTCTTAACTATCAGAGCCACGCTCCAAGTCCCATCACAGCAGTGCTCAGCCCACGGAGACGCCAAGAGGTACACACACTCAGGATGAACTCTCTTACAACAACAACGCTCAGTTACTGAGTCATCAGAGAAACCCAGATCTGACTGGAAGTCCTACCCCGGCTGTAACTCACCCACATCTGCACTCATCGCTAGCCACTGTGGGGAACAACTGCTCTATGGGGACAGGGCTTCCTTTAGGGTGATGAAAGGTTTTGGAACTAGGCAGAGGTGATGGTTGCACAACACCAGGAATGTATTAAATGTCACGGAGTTGTTCACTGTAAAACGGTTAATACTGTTAACCATTTGTGTGAGTTTCACCTCAATGTTTTTCTTTTCCAATCCATATACTGGCACCAAAGAGATTTTGGCAGGAGTGATCAATTCCCACCCATTTCTGACTTATTCCTTACACATACTCTCAGTGAGAGAAGTACCATGAAATGCAAATGCTTCCCAGCCCAGGAAAAGGCTCGCGTACTCATTCCAGGAACCGTGCGAGCACTTGCTGCACCAGGTAATGAGGATGCGGTCCTGCCAGCCCCCAGGAGGCCACCTGCAGTGGATGCAGGCTGTAAGGAATTCTGACTCAACACGGGGTCCAGCAGGGAGCCACGAAGCAGTGCCGAGAACAGCAGTGCCACAATCGGATGTGTCCTACGATGGCCACTCTGACGCAGTGGGAGAGAGGAAGGGCGGCGTGCGGTACAGGGCATGGTGACAGGAACAGGAGCAGACGGACCCTTTATGAGGCTAGTGCCAGGCACCAGAGACAGCAGCTGCGGCCGAGGTGTCAGTAGTGCTCTGGGAAAGGTAGTGTGGTTTGAGACGGAGCAAGGATGTGGCCTGATGCCCCCGGGGACTGGCCTGAGGGAAGCACAGCCTCACAGCTGCTCGGCGTGGGCGCCTGGGAGACACCACTGCAGTACAATGGGCAATACCCTAGCCCTGGACTGAATGTTGGGGACAGAGGGGGCAAGTGTCCAGGCCACCATCCAGTTCACTCACTTGGCGGCTGGCTGGATGTAGGTGCTGGGCCAAAGAGACTGGAGCATGGAAGGGCAGAGAAACAAATCGGTACAAGAGCAGTGCGTGTAAGCCAATCCAAAAGGTATGTGTTTCATAGAAGGCACACAGGAGGCTTGTTTTCCCAGGCCAGTGTGGGGCATTTATTTAACTATAAATATTACTGACCTAAATAACCTAACCATGACTTCTAACACATTTCCACAGGTCAAGCCCCCCCCTGGGGACCTCGGAGCCCACCTTCCATCCCCATCAGCCTCCTGTTCCACAGCTGCACTGCTGTCCTCCACACGTGCCCTCCTCCTCACTCTGCTCCAGCACTCCACCAATGCCCTGGGGCAAAGGGAACAAGCCTGGAAGGCAGTAGGTTCTGGAGCAAGTGGGAGATGAACCAAGTTTCTACTGAAAGGACAGGGGG